GATTTTTTCGTATTTTACTCATTTTTCTTTTGCCTTCTTAAAATGCGAAAAAGAACTTTATTTTGAGCTTATTCAACTGTCCACTTTTCGGGGGGTAACATACTTAGCCAGTTATACTTATAAAACAGTGGAACAAAATATTTGCTCAATGCGTGCTTTCTTCCGTTTTCTTTTAGAAGCAGAGGAAGTCCAAACTGATTTCCCTGCAAAAACACCTATGGTTCAAGCGAGGAAGCAAACCCGGATTCCCTCTGTATGGACAGCAGATGAGTTAAAACGACTCATTGGTGCGATTGACAGGGGAAGTCCAAAAGGAAAGCGAGACTACGCCATCATTCTCCTGGCATGTTGCTTAGGAATGCGATGTACAGATATTAAAAGCCTTAAAATGGAGTATTTCCATTGGCAAGAGAAAAAGCTGGTTTTTATCCAATCCAAGACAAGAACTTCTCTTTCTCTTCCGTTGACCCAGGAAGTAGGATGGGCTGTGATTGATTATCTCAAACACGGTCGCCCTAATATAGACAGCCCCTATCTATTTGTAAAACACATGGCGCCCTTTAGTACTTTTGCAGAGGGAGACCATTTAACCAGATTAATCAAAAGATATATGGAGCTTGCGCACCTTCCTACTTTAAAAAAGAGAAGGGGAATGCATTCACTGCGTCACACCATGGCCAGTGTACTCCTTGAGAAGAATACCCCTCTTTCCACTATCTCCGATATTCTCGGACATGCTGATGCTGACTCGACAGCCATTTATCTCAAGGTGGATATAAAAAAGCTTAAACAATGTGCTCTTACTTTCGGGGAGGGCATTAGTCATGAATAACATCCTTTATAAAGGTCCCTTTAAAGATCATATCCAAAATTATATAGAGCTAAAACAGGCGATTGGGTACAAATACGATACTGAAGCAAACCATTTAAGGCGCTTCGATCAATTCATAGAAGAGAAATATTCACAGAGTTCTATTCTGACCAAGGATATTGTACTTGATTGGTGCAGTAAAAAATCTTATGAAACACAAGCAAATCAACGCTCCCGTGCATCTATCATACGTCAGTTTGGAAAATACTTAGATTCTATTGATGCCAAAGCTTATATCCTTCCAAAAGGATATTATCCTACAGAACCCCAGTATATGCCTTATATTTATACCACTGATGAATTGACAAGGTTTTTTGCAGAGACGGATAAATGCCAATATTGCTACGAATGTCCAAACCGACATCAAATTATGCCTGTCATCTTTCGTATGATTTATATGTGTGGACTGAGAGTATCAGAAGCACGACTTCTCAAGGTTGCAGATGTTGATCTTGAAAGAGGGATTCTCACTATCAATCATTCCAAGAAAGATAATAGCCGCTTGGTTCTTATGTCAGATTCTTTGACGCAACGGTGTCGATTTTATTCAAAGAGCGTTCATCCTTATCCAAGTTCAGAAGATTACTATTTCTCTGCTCTTGGAGGGAAACCGATGACATTGATCAATCTTTATAGAAACTTCCGCAGATTTTTATGGCGAGCAAAGATCTCACATAGAGGAAGAGGTAAAGGGCCACTTATCCATGACCTTCGTCATACTTATGCTGTCCACTGCTTAAAAAAATGGTCAGAACAAGAAAAAGATCTCTGTGTATATCTCCCTATCCTTAAAACCTATATGGGGCATGATTCTTTTAAAGATACAGTCTATTATCTGCGTATGACTGCAGATGCGTTTCCAGACATAACCCTGAAAATGGAAACCCACTATCTGGATCTTATTCCTTTATTGGAAGGAGATTCCAATGAAACCTACTGACTTTGCAAAATACCTTACTGAGTTTCTTTCTGGGTATCTGCCAGAACAGAAAAACGTCAGTAAGAATACGATTCGTTCCTATCGGGATACCTTTAAGCTTTTAATTGCCTACTGTCAGGAAATTAAAGACACTCCCTCACAACGAATAACTCTCAATATGCTTTCAAGTGAATGGATTACTGGCTTTTTAGAATGGTTAGAAGGGGAGAGAAAGTGCAGCATCTCGACCAGAAACCAAAGGCTTGCAGCCCTTCACTCTTTTTTTAGGTATGTACAAGCGGAAGAGCCTGCAGGGATGTTCCATTTCCAAAAGGTTACTGCGATTCCTATTAAAAGAGTAAAGAGAACAATGGTCGAATACCTGACTCCTGAAGCCATAAAGCTTCTTCTGGAACAACCTGATAAATATACACCCAAAGGCAGACGTGATCTTACGCTCATCAGTATTTTGTATGACTCCGGAGCACGTGTACAAGAGTTAATTGATATGAAGGTTTGTGATGTTAGTCTAGACGGTCCTGCTGTTCTCACACTAACGGGAAAAGGGAATAAGACTAGACGGGTTCCCATCATGAAGAATACAGCTTCTCTTCTGCAAAGCTATCTTCTGGAAAACAAATTGGATAAACCTTGGAGAAATGAAAATCCTTTGTTCACCAATAGCCAGCGTCGGAAGCTGACAAAAGAAGGAGTTACCTATATCCTTTCAAAGTATGTTGAAGCTGGAAGAAAGCTCTCTACGCTCTTGCCTTTGAGGGTGACTAACCACATGCTTCGCCACTCAAAGGCCATGCATTTATTACAAGGGGGAGTTAATCTCATATACATTCGTGACTTTCTAGGGCATGTCGATTTAAAAACGACAGAGATCTACGCTAGGGCAGATACTGAAATGAAAAGGAAAGCCATTGAGAATGTCCATCCTGATCTGACCGACAGTGATCTTCCTGACTGGAACAAGGATCAGGCCCTGCTTTCTTGGCTATCTGAAATAAAATAGGTCAGAAACTATGCGAAGTAACTGAGACCACAATCCTTTACTTGCATGGGTTGAAGCTAGTTACTTTGCATAATTATTTACTTCGCATAAGGAGGGGTTGTCAGTCCGTTATTAGCGAATATTTTCATGCATCATGCCTTTGATGATTGGATGAGAAGACACTTTCCGGATGTGATGTTTGAGAGGTACGTAGATGATGGGTTAGTGTACTGCAAATCGTTGGAGCAGGCAAGAAAAATTCTGGGTAATATCAAGAAACGTTTGAAAGAATGTGGACTTGAGTTGCATCCGGAGAAGACAAAGATAGTATATTGTAAGGATTCAGATAGAACGGGCACATATGAGCACGAGAAGTTTGATTTTCTGGGATATACGTTTAGACCACGCTTGTCTTGGAACAAAGCTGGTAAAACGTTTGTCAATTTTACTCCTGCAATCAGTGGTAAAGCAGCAAAGGAAATTCAGAAAGAGATCCGAAGCTGGAAAATTCATCTTCGAAGTGACAAGAACATTACGGATCTAGCGAGAATGTTTAACTCTCAAGTTCAAGGGTGGGTAAATTATTATGGTAGATACTATAAATCTGCCATGT